CCTCACTGAAGTACCCTCTTGCCCTTGCGGTTCGCCACGGCAAGACATTATCCACCTTATTTATGAATGTCCGTATACTTACGTCCAAGCACGCTACTTAAGACGCTTTATTGACCGCACCTCGAACACCGGTAGCAATCTTGCTAAATTCTCACGGGCCATTTCGGACCCGTCAGAATGCGTTAGTCGTCTTATTTTCAATCTTAGCATAACTTGCGACAGGCACTTCTGAACTTGTATCTCGCGCCCACCCGCGACCAGCGCAGGCGCTATGTCTTGTCTACGTCCACCCCTTCCCATCCCAGCGAAGCGTACCGCTCCGCTAGACTTACGACTCTTGGTCGCGCGGTCTTCTGGTTGGAGCGGTCTGCTCCACCTACGGCGCCTCTTTTCGCACAGTATTCGGTTGTTTCGTGACTTAATCATCGACCTCCCCTTTACCTCTAAAACTATTTATTCTGACGTGATCTGGCCGTATCGACCTCCTATTATTTTTTGGAGGCGGGAGCCATTAAGTAAAGAAGAAGAAGAAGAAGAAAGGAGTGCAATCTGCTCCCTGACGAGCGCTCCGTTTTTGCACGGCAACTATCGTTATACCTACTTATTTTTCTAAAGACATTCATTTGGAACGTGATCTGGCCGTATCGACCTCCTATTAACTGTTTGGAGGCGTGAGCCATAAATTAAGAAGAAGAAGAATAGGAGGCAGAAGCCATAAACAAGGAAGAAGAAAAAGAAGATTAGACAGCCGCCGCGAGTTTCTAAACCACACTTCCTGCATCATGTATGCAAAAATTAAATATTATTAATGTTAAAAATATTGCAGTAGCAAATATTGAGCAGCAAATGATGAGAAATTATTGAAGATGTTATTTTTGATCTCATCATTTTCGATAGGATAGTTTTCAGGGTGGTTTTCCCAGATATTTAATTCTTATTACAATATTTGCTGCTGCAATATTTTTCACATTAATAATATTTAATTTTTGCATAATGCAGGAAGCATGATGCAGGAAGCATGATGCAGGAAGCGTGGTTTAGAAACTCGCGGCGGCTGTCAAATCGATAAGCACCCATGCGAAAATCGCACAGGTTTCGAGCGAATTTCGCACGATGAAGTAGGTTGCTTTATATGTATTGCGCTCATGTGCTATTGTAAAAAGCTAGTATGACCAGTGCGCACATCTCATTCTCTTTTTTCATAGAGATTCCTCGTGCTATGATTACACGATTTCATGCATAAACCGATCGAACGATGGCGCTATTAGCGCACTGAAATTAGAGACCCTATACTAAGAGTCTGGCCAATGTTGCTAGTTTGACAAAACATGGCGTCGTCGTACATAACCCTATAGTATAGGGACTCTATACATAACCACAAACGTGATGTGATCGATTAATTTGAGACACTTCATTGGCTCCGCCATATTTTGTCAAAACCAATAGGATGGATGACAACATTGGCCAGACTCTTAGTATAGGGTCTCTAACTGAAATATGCCACGCGATAGTAGTATAGGCTGTCTGTGCCAAAATCGTAACAGATTTCTCTCCGTGTATATCGCAAATTTTTTCTTTGTCTTGTTATAATCCCGGGAAAAAATGTTTTATATATAATTATATTAAAATTATGTAGAATTACATATAATTTTACATATTTACATATAAATGGACATATTTTACATATAATTATGTATAATTCTATACAATTGTATATAATTTCGTATATAATTATATATAATCCCTGTTGAAAATTTTTGTAATTTTTTTGTACCAGATCTTAAAAGAGTTATATTAGGTTGGTGCAAAAAAAATCTCGGTTTTTCTGTATTGCTATTAAGAGCAGTCGTAACTTCGTTAACTTAAAAAATGAACGAAATTTGAATTTAAAAAGAGTTTTAAAATTTGAAATCTTTTTCGAAAAGTCACTGTACTTTTTGAGTTTATGTAAGTTTGATAATTTTTTTATGTGAGTTTGATAAACTACCAGCTGAAAAAATTGAAAAAATTTCTTTTCACTTTATAGGTCTGTTACGTGCCCCCCAAAAAATCGAGAAAATTTTTTACTATCTATCGTGAAAGATTGAAGTTTTCTCTACAAAATCGTTTTTTAATAATGTTTTTACAAGTTTTTGTTCCTGAGTTACTTGTGCATTAAGTAAAAGTAGCATTCGGATTTTGATTGCTCATAACTTCGTTAAAAATTATTATATTGCAATCAAAAAATATAGATTCTTAAAGCTGAAACTTCGCTCTATTAAATGGTATAACGTAACAGACCTATAAAGTGAAAAGAAATTTTTTTCATTTTTTCCAGCTGATAGTTTTCTGTATGTAAAAATTATCAAACTCACATAAACTCAAAAAATACAGTGACCTTTTGAAAAAGATTTCAAGCTTTAAAACTCTTTTTTAAATTCAAATTTCGTTCATTTTTTAACGAAGTTACGACTGCTCTTAATAGCAATGCAGAAAAACAGACATTTTTTTGGATCAACTTAATACATATGTGATCAATCAAGATTACTAAATGAATGTATATGATCGTATAAGAATCTTATATAATTTGTACATGAATCTCACCAGTAATCTTTAATGACTTTATAGGAATTTGGAACGAATCGTACATGACGATTTATATTGTAATGAAAAGATCTTGTCTTATAAGAAACTTTTAAAAAATAGTTTCTTTACAGGATCATCTAAGAATATGGTATTAATTATATATGATTCTGAAGTGTTTCATGAAAAAGATCATTTATCAGTCTTAAGAGACATAGTTACGTAATAATTTATTTTCCAAGTTGATACAAGAATCTGGCATGAATCATACACGATAATTTATATCGCAATAAAAAGATTTTGCTTTAACCTTGTAAGAAACTCTTAAAAAAAAATTTCTTTACAGGATCATCTAAGAATATGGTATTAATTATGATTTCTAAAGATGAAATCACACGATGCTCGATTTCTTGAATGATAACATGCAGTTATACCTGCTCTCGAGCGTTCGTGTGATTCCATCTTTAGTGTTATATGAAAGATCATGTATCAGTTTTAAAAAGCATATATGTACAAAATAATTTATCTTTCAAGTTAATGCAAGAATCTGGCATGAATTGTACACGACGATTTATATCGCAGTGAAAAGATTTTAATTGCTTTAGCCTAATAAGATACTCTTAAGAAATAATTTCTTTACATGATCTCTCCAAATTAATAAAGATCTCTCCAAAGGAATCAATCATCCCAGTAAACGAAATGGAATAATTGAATGAATAGAAACTGAATTGAATATTTGAAATGAAAAAGAATGAAGAATGTTAGAATATAACTGAAGATAACTATTAATAAAAGGTCGAAACGTATATTATCACTGTCTTAATGAATTGATAAATTATAATTTCGCTATAAGTGGCGTAGGTTTTTTATACTCCTTTCCCAAATTAAGTTTGATTTAGTCGAAAAGCCGTTATTCAATTTATGTAAAAAGAATTAATTTTTAGCCGAAATAAATTCTTTTAAATCTTATTCAACTCTTTTTGCTTGTCTCATTCCATCCCAGATAGCACAGAGTTTAAAAAGAATTCAGTGATTCATTTTCAGATGCAAAAAGAATTCTTTTTCTGAAAAGAATTTTTGTTGCATCTGAAAAAGAGCTCAGAATTGATTTGACTGAATTCTTTTTGAATTCTTTTGAACTCTCTGTGCTACCTAGGATTTCATTTACTGGAATAAATCACACAAAATTCCAATAGTATTCTTGTAATATTTTCGTAATGACACTCCAGTTATATTCTTGCATTCACGTTACATACAAGATTCATGTAACATGGATGTAAATTTCATGCAAGATTCTTGATTTATCTACAGGTGTCGTATGCGACATATCCTTATATGATCTTGTATGCTCCTGTTCGAAATTCGTATGTGAAAATTATTTTGATCTCACAAGAATTTTTCTTGTAAGAATTTGCAGCAGGGATTTTATATATAATTTTATATATAATTGTATATAAATATACATAATTATATACACAATTATATATAAAATATGTCCATTTATATACAATTATATAAAATTATATAATTATATATAAAACATTTTTTCCTGGGATAATACATACGCAGAATAAAAATATATTGCACACTGTATATACTATATTATATTCATTACATAGTATTTAATTATATAGATACTAAATAACAAAATTACGAAATAAAATTGCAATCTTTAAAATAAAATAACATTTAAATTACATTCTTGATAAATATTTATCTTTGAAAGCGATAAAAACATATAAACGTCTATACAAAATTACACTATTACAAAAACTGTATATGCTAAACCGAACTTATTATGCCTTTTTGTGTCTCACACTTTTTTATTGCCTATATCTTCTGCACAATAATGGCTAGATAAAAAGAGGAATACAAGCCTGAAGATTATTTATCCCGCGAAATCAATTATACTTCTTAATATTAGACCTTCTAAATTTTCTGAAGCGCAACTGATTCATACGAGACATTAGCGTATATATTCCAGGCATGAATAAGAAGAGTAAATAAAGTCTTATTAGAGACGGGAAATGAAGAGCAAAATTGTAACTATTTGGCAAAGAAATCGTGAACTTTTGAGTTTCCTCAAAGTACGGAATGTCTCGTAGCATTATAATACCTTCGCATATGAAGCCCAGCGGGTACAACGGTATCCATATTGTATATCTCAGCCACGTTAGGAAAGATATCTCAATGTTCAACACTTGCGTGATGTAGTACGGATATCTGATTATTTCTACCATGCTCCATATGAGAAACATGTAGAAAACGACCGGTTTGGTTTGCATACGAGGCTCAGCGTCGATCATGAAGAATAGTATGAACGCTCTACCTCCCGTTTGTAAGAAAGACACTAGTACGCTGCTCTTCGTATATCCAAATAAAGGGTGCATTACCTCTAAAAATTGTAACAGTTGTATAAACTTGAATGGATTGCCTACTGCGTCATATGTTTCTTTCATGAAATCTGCAAATATATGTTGCGTTAATAAAACATTTCTAAAAAACGAGATTGTTTACTGCTATATATTTCAACATAAAGAGTTAGGAAAATAAATTCAATAAAATTTCTAGAGCTCATTCCTCATATAAAAGAATAAAATATTTTGTAGTAAAGTATATAAATACCTGGTCCGTCGCGGGAATATTTTATAGCCATTACGGCAAACACATAAATGAAACCGACAAATTGACAGAGATTATATATGACTAGATACACCTTCGCAAAGTCCTCTGAAAGAACAAGATATGACAGATTAATCTTGTAACATTGCTAATGACATCAATTTATATACCTTTTCTATATCCAAATTCTTCTTTGTGCAATTTATCATACATGTCAGGATAATCGTTAAGAATATCACGCTTCTCGTCCTCATTATCGTCCATGTCTTCACTTTTCCATTTGTCAAAATCGATCTTAAGCCATGAAGGCTTCTGTGGTTGACTTGTTAGTCTCGGCCACCAGCCATTACATTTCTTTCTCAAGACAAAGTCCACCTCACGATCAATTACCTTGTAATTACTCTCCTGGAATAAACGTTCCATATAAGTTTTCTTTAATATAATTGCATTAAATAGACATAAAGCTAATTTAAACTTGTCATTACGTTTGGATTGATAGATGAGTGAAGATTTAAATCAAAGCTGTAACTGTTCACTCCTCTGGCTCCATATCCGTAGGCTGTAACTTGCAATGTAGTTTCATTCAAGTTGACATTAAGATCCTACAAAATAAGGTATATAATTATGACAATTTATATTGATATCGCAATCAAAACTTTACATTTACAAGCACAAAGGTCTTGTGTATGTCCTTTCATGTGTACATAACGTACCTTTACATCAGTCAAGTCTACCTTCAGCGTAACTTGATTCTCCGTCTGGGCCCAATATACAAATGGAGTAAGCGTGTTGGACATTTTATCATAGCAACTTGACGACAACAGAAATCTATCACCGTCTGTTATCAGTGACGACTTATCACCGTTTTATCTCTGTGGTTTCCGCAGCAACATGCACACTGCCACTTCTATTTTCCACTTTAGTTTTTTACTTTGCACTTTGACTGTTGAATCAATTAAACACAATCATAGAAAAAACTCAGAGAAAAAACTTTACTCATTGTATGATAATCGTTACATCTTGTCTTACATTAAATGACATGGGACGATGAGACCATAAATATATAGTCAATTGGTGAGATGAAGGAAAATGAAGGAAACGGCCGGACGAGGCCATGAGGCAACCGGAGTCGCTGATGGCTCTTCTTTTTCTTCTTAATTAATGGCTCCTGCCTCCCATAATAAACGGAGGCAAAACGGCCTGATCACGTCCGTAAAGTTGCTATCAAAAAGGATAAAATAGAGTGGAAGCGCCCATAAGAACTCAATAATAAATTTCGTATCGAGTTTTAGCGCTCTCGGTGGTTCAGTACGGAACTAATCTCAGTGATCACGCCATATTTGAATGATATAAACGTATTAAACTCAATCGAAAAAACTTATTACTAGGTTGTAACGGGTCAAATACATTATTAAACTTCCTGTAAAAATTAATTATAAATATTTATTATAAAATATAGTTTCGTACATACACATACATATATTTACAACAGTTCCCAGATAATACTTATGTTGCATAAGATATCTAAAAGACGTCTTTCAGATGTTTTATGTCTATAAGATGTCTAATGCGGGGTCTACAATAGATAGAAATCGTAACGGTCGTAGGATCTTAAGTTGTAGAAAATTGATCAATCACAGTTGATTATTCTTCTCATATTCGACTGTGATTGGTCAATTTTCTACGATTTAAGACCCTACGACCTCTACGACTTCTATTGTAGATCCCGCATTAGACATGTAGAAAACTGACCAATCACAGTTGATTATTCTTCTCATATTCGACTGTGATTGGTCAATTTTCTACGACTTAAGATCCTACAACTACTACGACTTCTATTATGCGGGGTCTACAATAGAAGTCGTAGAGGTCGTAGGGTCTTAAATCGTAGAAAATTGACCAATCACAGTTGATTACTCTTCTCATATTCGACTGTGATTGGTCTATTTTCTACGACTTAAGACCCTACGACTGTTACGACTTCTATTGTAGACCCCGCATAAGACTCCGCATTAGTGTTATCTAGGTTCGTACATAATTCTTTCTTTTTTTGTTTCTACCGTTTTGTTAGGACTTTTTTCGAAATGTTTAAATTCTTGTCGAATGAATCTCGCTTCCCAATGACAGCGAATTATAATAAAATTTTTTTTTAATGCGGTTGTTGCTTCATCGCTACATAATGTAATTTGCAGACAACAATTTCGATTAAACGCCGTGAGATTCTTACAAACGTTCTTACAGTGGAGCATATTGCGAATGATTGAGGTGAAGTGATGTTCCTAAGTCTGTATCTTTTTAAAAATTTCGTATTTAACATGAATTAATCCTTTGGAATTTTCATATTATTTGCAAATAGTGAATGCCTTATACTCTTGAAAATCGGTATCTTCGTCGATTTGCAATGTACTTTTACATAGCGTACAATCGTGTTTGGAAAAAAATTTTTTACATAAATACTCTGATGTAATAAACCGAATTTAACCGGTTGAATTCTTCGCATTCATTCTCAACGTAATCAACTTAAAAATTTATAGTTGACGGTATCAAATCTGTTTCTGTATTTGTTTCAAAATTACTCTCTTTATTAGCGATATTTTTGATGCGATGAAAGTTTAAGAAAAATATTATTTTTATCAATCTCGCAGTTTGTGAATTTTGAGATTTTTGACAGTTGTGTTATTAATATATGTCGCATGCCATGTTCGAATTGACGCGGAGACGAATTCACATTGCAACCGTGCTGTTGCCTGATGACCGCAAATAAATTTTCTAACGGATCTTGATTTAATCTTCGAGTACACAATTCATGAACGCCGTAATTTTGATCTAAATCCTCAAACAATTCCAATATTGCTCGAGCTGTCATGTGGAGTCCTTTTAAACATGGTGATTGCTTTTTGGATGCAAACGTCGCTTTCTCTAAGTTCTGTACAGTTTTTAAAATAAACTCTCTGTGTGGAGAAGTTCGCGAAATCACGTAATTTAATTTATTAGGGAAAGTTTCCTTTTTAAGCGAAAAATTCAGCGCATCAAATAACATATCAATGTCTAAAACAAATTGCGACGTCCGATCATTTTCAGGAAACTTCTCGGGATACATTGTCATGTAAACAAGCATATGGCTGTATGCACGGATTGTGAAAAGATTTGTGCAGCCAACCGAACATTTATTTTTGAAAAATGCGTTAATTTTATATGATTATCTGTTATTTTCGGAATCAAACCGAACGGATACTGTTTCGATAAATCGAAAATTTTGTTAATTGTTGCCCAGCGCACATAATCGTCTAGATATTTCAAGATTTTAATCATTACATTATTTCGAAGGGATTTGATCAAGTGCAGTGGATCAAAGATCAGTAAGACTTTATGCCCAAATCTTTCAAAATATGTTTTGTTTTCGGAAATATTAAATTTCTTAATCAATTCTTGATTTCATGGCCCTTGATCGCAAATAATGCTTTTGACGATTAAATTTGCATCGAAAAGTTTATTGACTGTGGAGTCAATAATTTCATGCGTTCTATCAGAATTGCCTACGCTGCTTAGGAACCAATATCCAACTACTTTTTTCATAGTTCTATTGATCTAATATCGTTTTTGATTGGGGTGCACTAGCTGCACTCAGTGTCAAGAGCGTGTTCAATTGGCAATGCCAATGCGCACTTAGCTAGTGTCACATGTTCATTTGACCGCACGACACTCGCGTAGTACGCACTCAGTGCGCACTAAGTGGCACGAGATATTTTGACGGTGCCAGTCCAGTGCACTGGATACATATATAGGATATCA